GCATCCTAACTACACTCCATATCTTTAGGTCGTCGGCAAACATTGTTGTTTGGTGGTCTAAAGACTTGCACAATCGTCCACGTATATTAGGAACAGATGGGGCCACAGTACTGAATTTTGGAAAACACCAATCTCGATCATAGCAGAATGTGATTATTATTGACCAATGCACACAACCTGGTGCTGGCCCACAAGGAAGTTTTCAATCCATCGGGGGAAGTTGCCTCTGACTCCTATTTCGTAAACTAACATAACAGCCTCTTGTGTGGCACAGTGTCGCACACATTCTGGACGTCAATGAAAGCCATGTGGACAGCAGGCCTGTCATCGAGAGCTGTGGATTAACTCTAGAAAGATCGAAGTAAGTTCGTAGCGCAGGATCTTCCTTTCAAGAACCCATGTTGGTAGTTCGGTTGCAAGTCGCGAGCTTCCAGGAATTGTGCAAATTCACTCTTTATGATCCCCTCCACAGATTTTCTGAGAATCCATGTGAAGCATATAGGTAGATAGATAGTTTTTATTAAAGACCCGTTGTGGTCCCATCAAGGCAAGTTAAAATAAATTTACATGCGAGTTTTAGAAGAGGCAGGCAGAATCTTTAAAAAATGCAATTCATAGTTTCTAAATTAGAAGTCCATTAAGAAACATGATGACTGAGGGGTAAAAAAACTCCTTACAAAAAGCTAAAAATGATTGGATTAATTTTACAGGAGAAAAAAAACCCCTCCATAAAAATAATAACAGAAAAAAGCAAGCAGGACTGGCCTGTAGGTGGCGGTATATAACAGATTGATGTCGGTCATCGTCAGGGTAGCAATAAATCTCAACATTGAGGGGTACCTATGCGGGCCAGACAGGACTGGCCTGCATGTGGTATTGTATACGGGAATCACAATTGACATCTTCTGGGCCGGATTGATACACCGCATGAGACTATTCGCGTCAAAGAGGCCAGAAGAGAGAAACCGAGATACGATCGGCCACAGCACGCTTCGAGCTCAGCCGAGCAGTGAGGAAGAGAGGTACGACCAAATTACTAGTAGACGGTGAATACTGAGGGTTCCGCCGTGAGCGTCAACTGGCCACATGAGGTCGGAATGCGGGAGATGACATCAAAAACCGCGAAAATTGTCGCTATGGGGGGGGGAGTGATAGCAGTGGATTTAGAAACCACATTAAAAACAGGGGTTTCTAATGATATAATTAAGAGTTACCACTTAATCTACCACTAAATCCCAGGAGCACCCTTCTCGAAGTCAAGAATCTGAGTGTTCGCGAATGAGACCGTTAACAGTGCCTTTATGCTTTCCGGTGTAAGATGGTTGCGTAATTTCGACTTGAATACCAGTAACTTAGGCGATAATCTAATTTCAGGCAGAAGATTATTTCAAAGGAAGCCATATTTGGAAGCAAAGAAGAGGGAGCGCTCAGATGTAGAACAAAGAGGCGGCGGAATCACCATGCAGGAGTTGCGCGTGCATAAGACCGATCTCTCGGAGTGAGAGTGTCAATGTGCGGAAGACTGGAGCTAAGTTGATGCGAAAAAGGAAGCAAAGGCCAGCTTAGAGTCTTCTTACCCACAAAAACTTAATGTTCGCCAGCTGACATCTCTGAGTATAAGAAATACTGGACGAAGCTTGAGAGAACAGTTTCCGGGTGAAAACGCCCTGAACATTTTCAATTTTATTACGGTCACAGGCGTTCATTAAACCGAAGAAAGGACAGCAATATTCGAGGACTGGATAAACAAACATTTGATAAGGTCTTCGCTTCATTTCCGGAAGGCAAAAATTATGCGATATGAACTCACATATATGTGCGGCTTTGGCAGAGATTCTATCTGCATGAGGTGATAACGTAAGCTCATTTGTATAACTTAGACCTAGGTCCTTTATGGTGAGGCATTCTGAGAGTGGATTATTCTGAAAAATTATGGGACCAGGAAGTTTGGTAGGACCAAAAGACATGAAGCTACACTTGGATGATGAAAACTCCATCTGCCATGTCGAACCCCATCTGCTTACGCGTAGTAAATTGGCATTAATTTTTTCAACACAAACGTTTGCTGTATACTTAGAGTATAAGTAAACACACTTGAGGTCAACGGCATAAGTAAAATTTTGCGAATTTCCGAGTTCAGTCGAAATATCATTGATGTACAGAAGGAAGAGTAGCGAACCCAGGACCGTGCCTTGAAGTACGCCACTCGTGATCGAGTGGGGTGTCGAGTAGCTATTACCGACCATGACTTTCTGATATCGGTTGGCCAGATAGGACCTGATGAAGTCGAGTAGAGGCGGCCGGATGCCGACAGCTTCCAATTTTACTAAAAGACGTCTATGGGGCACCTAGTCAAAGGCTTTGCTAAGATCAAAGTAAATAACTACCACTGAAAGCCGCTCATTACGAAGAGAAGTGATTAGATTAAGAAAAGCCAAGTGACATGTTTCGCAGGATCGTTCAGGTAAAAATCCATGCTGACCAGAGCCCAGAAGACGATTAGCTAAACAGAAGTCAAGAATTTCATTGAAAATAATCCTTTCAAGAAGCTTTGATAGAGAGGGCGCTCTGTGCACCTCCCGATTATTATTAACATCGGACCGAGATCCTGACTTGAAAACGGGAATGATAATTGACGTCTTCCATGATTCAGGAAAGAATCCTTTTGAAATATAAACAGAGAATAAATGACTGAGCAATATGGGAAGGTCGGACGTTTGTTTAATAATCGAATTCGGAATCATGTCCGTTCCTGAGCAGTGTGAGTATTTCAAACGGCTTATGCGCTTCTTAATGTGATCTGAGGAGATATGAATTGTACTAAGTGTCCTATCTGAAAGTGATCGAAAGAAAGGGACCGGATCGGACTCGGTAGCAAGGTGTTTTGCAAAGAAAGCACGGGTGGAAGTTCATGACCACGCTTAGAGGAGGACCGATGACGGAAGATGTTAGCGACGGATTTGCCAGGGTTCGAACCACTGAGAGCAATTGATTCTCTTTGCCTGTCGCGCGCTAGGCGCATCCTTGAGGCCATCTCAAATATCTCTGTGATTCAAAGATGAACAGATAAGGAACTAGTGGATGGGTCACGCAGTTGTCGCCTCAACTTTTTTAGTCTGTTCTGAAGAAAATGAGGAACAAGGGAATCTGAAGAATTAGGCTTGGGATATCTACGCGGCACAAACTCTAGAATGTCCTTGGAAACATTGGACATGACATCACGAAGAATGGTTACATCGCTACAAGTGAGGAAGCCACACCAATCCAAGGATCTCATATAGTTATTTATTAAGTCATTATCTACGCAGTCGTAGTTCATGAAAGTCTGAACGGCGCTTGTCTTTTTTGAAAAGGCAAGCGGTAGGCAACAATGAATTAATACGTGGTCACTGTCAAAGAGGTCCTTTTTTAAGGCAACAGAAAGAGGAGCTATGTCATTGGTAAAGATTAGATCTAAAATGTGATTATCTCTTGTTGGAGAGCGCAGCAGTTGGGACCAATTAGAAAAATTGACAATATCTTGAAAGGGCTGTAATCGGGGTGGGCAGCTATTGGAAACCCAGTCAATTTCAGGAAGGTTAAAATCACCAGTGGTTATTTTAACATAGAAAGCAGCTTCCGAAATTAATTTAAATATTTCACAGAGTTGTGAATCATCACTGGCTAAAGAATTTGGAGGATTGTAGATACAGCTAATCATTGCCTTTCTTTGCGGCGAGAGAATAACAGATGCAAAGCAGAAGTTTCCCGTGAATGAGGAAACATCCAAGTAATAGGGAGAGTGCTTTAGGAAGGATTTAAGATAAAGAAGACAACCACCCCCACGCCTAGTCGTGCGGTCTTGGCGGTAAAAATCGAAGTCATCTATGAGAAGGGCAGAGTCAGGAATTAGAGAATGGGTTAAAGATTCTGTTACACATAATATCAGGCGTCATTTTCAGAGCAATGGCTCTGATTTGGGCCATCTTGTTTATAACAGACCTGGCATTCAATAATATAATTTCTAATGTGCTTCGAACGGCAATGCTATTTTCGACGGTATTTTAAAAAAAATTTTGAGGCGGATATGTAAGCTGCGAATTAATGACACTTGGAGAATAAGTGCCAGATAGGAAAGTGTACTGAACACCAAATACTTCTGTCATTTAACTACATGAACTTGAAAGAGATAGCTTGACACGGAGTCACTAAATGGCACACCACAATATACGGCTACTTTGCCGGACTGTCTATCAAACAGGAAAAAATTTATTCCCAGTGTTCAAATGCGAATTTTAAAAAGAACTCATGTAAAAAACAGGCATTAATTGCTTAAGAATATTACAGTTTACACAAAGATTCACTTATCTGTGAAATTGAGCTGCGCCCCTTGATAATGTTAATTTAATTTAATTCATTAAATGCTGGTTTACAGGAATTGTCATGGGAAGCGATTAAACACAAATCCAACCAGCAGTGAAAAAAACTCCTTAAGAATAAAAATATAGTTAATGGTGGTTTTTACGGTTTGGAGGGTTAAGGAGAAAAAAAACTACTGGCGGTAGATTTCCCACCGTCAACAAGGGGTAGGAGGTTGCACGGTATCGGAGATTATCGGACGTCAAATTCCTTTCATGAAGTTTTGGATAGTCAAAGAAGAGGCGTTGAGGAACAGCTGGTTAGACCGGCCATAGTGTTCAGAGACCACAAACGCCATCGCTACGGTAGAGTCGATCAGTGGATTCAGAACCCAAAATTTGAGGAAGCTTTTCTGAATGCAAAAATCGAGTAAAAGTTCTCTTGAATAAAGGATAATTTTGCAGAGTTTTCACACTTATGTTCTGGTGGTCATCTGCCTTGAGCTTTAGAAATTGATATCCTATCCGTCGAATATCCGGACGAATGAACTGTCCTTTGTTTCGAACGTGTTGACCTTGATCATTGAACAGTTGGGGCCAGCCTGTTTTCTATTGGCCACTTCCCTCTAACGTGACGTGCATTTTGTGCAATGAGCCGCATTCATGGAGCTTGATGAACCGTCTTTTAGATCGGATCTACAGTGTTCGAAATTATGCTCTCAGGTATGTACGGGAATATTAGTCCATAGATCAGACTTTTTAATGTTTTTTTCAAATTCCCCCTCCTTGTTGGTAGTACGCATTGCTTGATCTTTTCTTTTATTGTTCGTCCGTGAAAATTCCTCACTCACCCTGATTTAGCCCCTACGGTTGGTCTGCGGATAGTTTTGAAAGTAACTGACTATTGCCAATAGTGCTCGAAGTCACAGTCCGGCCAACATTCTCCCTACGCGATCGACGTCGATGGCGTCAAGGACCAGTCCGGTCGCTAGCCGCACACAACACGCGAATCTGAGCCGTCATTAATGGGTTATAAAGAGACTAGTATTATTTTCCCAGTGACGCCTCACAATGACCAACGTTATGCGAGATATAGATCCGCATAAGTTACTCAAAAAATCATCCTCTTGCACGAGCTGACCCTAATTTAAGACTGATAAACTCTCCAGTTGCTGTGCTAGCCGTGCGCTGCCTTGTCTTTTGTCCCCGCAATATTCGTCGTTAGAAACGAATTTAGGTGTTTGAGGCTGTGACCACGGCGTTCCTGCCGTCAGAATAGGTCTTTTTGTGCTGCCGACTTGAGGCGGTTCGGAGTGTTCTACAGCTTACCGGTATTTCTAGAAAGCACTGCGGTATCGTATCACGTCCTACAGCACAAGAGCGAGACCCACCTGCCGGGGTACGGGTTACCGATGCTTTAAAATTTCGCCGTCTCAAATATTTCGGGTACCCACTCTGTCCATTCAAAGAACTGTACAGTCTCGACATCATCTAGGGAATTTTGCTGACCAATTTAGAAAAGTAGGCAGATAGTCAGATCTAAGGACGATGTCGGGCGTGCGAATGGACCCCCAACTCCGCCCTTGATTTTGAAGTTCTGGCTGACGAGTTCAAGGCATGGTCCGCACTAATTTGTGATGCTAGGGACTTGAAGGCTGTCTAAAACCACACATGAATAGTCGACGGTTCCAAATTTTACAATTATGCCACTGACTAGATTCCACCAGTCTTTGGAAACCCCTTCGGGTATGTTCACTAGGTAATGCGTGCAAATCACGGATCCTGGTTGAGTCAGCGCTGTTTCGGCGACTGTCTCCTTCCGTGGTGGCGTTTATGATCACAAATTTCTCTGACTCGACGTTGCAGGTTCTCGACGTCACGAATGGCCGCCTTCCACTGCAGTTAGTTGGCGACAGAATTCCTTAGACAGTTGAGCAAGTTGACATGCAGATTTTTCAGTCCCGAGACCCCAGGCGCAGAGCCTGCTTTCATCATGTCCATCCTGTTCATCGATTAGCACTCTCGACACTGTTTCGAACCGGGACCGCGTTTGAGCTGGATGACTCTCTACAAATAATAAGCCTTCAGAATGACGAAGCATATAAGCACCGTCTAGATCGACAGGTGAGGCGAGTGCAGATGACGGATTACTCGTTAGCCTAGCTGCTGACAATTCCGCGCGTCCATATGTGACGGATAGCGGAATGCCCTTCAGCGGAGGTTACCTGACGAAATATCGGTCGTGAATCAGCAGAGACAATGCTGCCAGGTTAGGGGGACCGAAGCATGGCGTGTCTACCGGCTCATACGATAGCACAAAGCCCGATGACAGCACTTTTGCAGTGACCATGAACCGTCAAGCATGTCATCTGTTTACCACTGCTGTGTACTTAAACTTTTTATCCAAGGCGTTAGAAAAGGCAATCTTAGAAAATCCAAGAAACCTCATAGTGTCCGATTACCACATCATCGGAACTGGCTAAATCAAGCGTGATCAAAGCTGTACAAAGTGCTCATAAATATAAGCATATACATAACTGCCCATCAGAGGCGCCACTGAATAGATCAATTCGACACCTTAACGCAAACACTCGTTACTCATAGCTTTGTCCTTTGACTAATATAATATTGATTCCAGAGTCTTTTGCGTACTCGAATAAATGCCGCGCATGCATAATAAATCCGAAGTAGGTTTCATTTCTGTCTTGCTCGCCTGGCCGAATGTTCCACCTAAGGTAGCGGGGAGGCCGTCATCCAGCTGAAGAACCACTCATTCTGCCATGACTAGTCAGATACTTTCGTCCACAGAACACGAGGTGGTCGTATTTCTCTTGGTGGAAGTGTTTTTTTTGGGCATGCTTCCGCTGTAATCACGCCTATTCCGGAAACCACACGCCACATTGGATTTAAAAAAAACTCGCTTGTCCCTCAACTTTATCGGCGTGGTGAAGACCTTTGATGCATACTCTAACCCACTACACCTTTGGGGTGGTTCGCCGATGTGAACTACAGTTATTCTCTCGATTTGTCACCGCAGGCATACTGACAACGAAAGTCCCCGTTTTTGTATCTAATCACTTATAAAGGTTAGAATAAAACCATACAATTTTGTCCTTGCACAGAATTCGCACCATCTAACTTCAGAATATCTAAGATGACGCCCTTCGGCCACGCTCTTTCTGTCCGTAACTAAATATCACCCAAATTTAGAACAAAGCGAAACGAAGGGTTCCTTTTCAAATCCAGAACTGTCTTCAACAACCACTTTTTTTTTCTCAAATGCTCGCTGCACATAACTGACACATTTTTTTCTACTACTGCCCCGAAAGCAGTGTGGTTTTGCAATTTTCGAGCCCTCACAAGGGAGCACGTAAGGATGGACCAGCGGAAATATTGCAAATGCCGCCAACAAAGACAAGGAGGATTTAATTACAGTCTTCGGATAACTAGCCTCCAACTTCTGACCGAAAAGACCTGAGATTGGAGCCCTGGTCTAGTTAATCTCCTAGATTAGATCATGGACTACTAAGACGCATGTGTTCACCCTCTGTTGGCCAAAATAATGAATACCTGGTATTACGCAGGAGTCGCGTTCTCTGAACTATTTTGATTGCCGAAGAAAAATGGATGTTCCATTATGCCCTGAGCTTCCGTTCTGGAGCCCCTGTGGACGGCTGCATAACTGACGATCGGTAATTGAGAGAGCGGAGTGACCAGATGGCGTATTCTTACTTCCTTTTATCTGGACTAGCATTCTCATAGTTGAGAGTTAACAAAGAGACCCAGGCACAATTCTCTGGCTTACTTGCCTGGGGTTAAAATATGACTGGCAGCGACAGCAAGTAAACTAGAACTTCCCATCACAGTCTCCATGCATTTGTGCATCTTTAATCGGGGATTTTTGTGGACGCCTTAGGTAAAGACTACCTGGCCTTGCAACAACCTGCGGTGCCAAGTAATCATAGCTCATTCTGACCCTCTATCACTCTTGGTCTGGGAAGCGTCTTTAGGTTCTGTCTGCTGGCGCCTTACCGGTCCTCGGTTCTCAACTTTTTTGACATTTCCAGTCATGGATGTGTCTTACAGGGCAATCGATGTTATCCTGCCTGCTAGACCGGCCTCTTCAGGCCGCCCTTGGCCACCCATGCAAAGGGCGGACCTTAAACACCAAGATTCGGTTCGTATGAGGAAGACGAACGTGATTGTAGTCCAAAGCTGGAAATAGATGCAAAGCCGCACCCTTGATGTGACCCACAGCATTTTATCGTCTGATCTCTCGAGTTACGTGGAGCTTCGTTACCAATGTTTTCTGACTGAAGTTGACTTTGTCTGTACCCCTCCACGAAAGCATCGTTAACTGCAGCCCCCCCCCCCCAACTGATTTACATGCATTGTTTTTGGCATCTTCAGACCAGTTGTCGTCGGGTTGCCGATCAGGCTGCGCACCTCGTAGACGCCCTACTAATCTTCAAGACATGGATGATCCAAACTCAGGCAGCCAGCCGCAATCAGCACCAACACATCGGATCTGATGGAGTCAACTCGCAGACTTCTGTTTCCCCCCAGAGCCTCGAGTTGGCTCTGCGACGGGCGGAACGCGCAGAGAATGCTGCGAATCGTATGCGTGCCGGTTGCCTTGCCATGCGACGCCAAGTGGAAGTTGGCTTAGGTTATAGGCGCGAAATTGAGCGTCTTCGAAACGAGGTGCAAATGTGCCAGGTAAGCAGCATCTAACCAACTTACTCTCATGTCCCTGTCTTCGTTGTCGCAACTTTACTGGTACTGGACTGTTCAGCCCTTGTCGTTACCGGCGATGTCCACAGTGTGTCCCACAACAGGGTGGGCACAGTGACGGTGACTTGCGCATAAGTCGGTCTGTAGTGATGTTAGACGGGTGTGCTGGTACACCTAGATGCGGGTCCGGCAAGGTAGATCGGGATGCTCGTTTCCGGCTTCTTAGCTGTCGTCAGCCAGCCATGCCCAACCCCGGACTTTGCAATATCTGGAGCTCAAACCCGCGTTCTGTTAGTCAGAAGTCCAACGCTCTAGGCATAGAGCTGCGAGGTCGGTTTCGACCAGGTAATCAAATATGAAAGATGGGACGTTCACCGATTGCATTACGAGACATACTCGTCTCGCTGTGCCCTTTGGGTCGGTCTAGAGCCCCACATGAGGCCACAGAGCAGCTGAATGATATTACCGACAGAAACAAAGGGAACTGGGATGGATATTTGAGACTTATTAGCCGTCATATGCTATCCATGCTCAACCCCACGTTTACAACTGCAGATGCTCGAACTCGTATTCGCCAGGCCCAACGGGACGAGTATGTCCCGTGCAGCTATTGGTAAGCGCCCCTCTACCAGAATGGGAGCGTCACAGAGGTCACACTAAAAGGCGACCATTGTAGCCTGGCTCTCCATCCTGAAGGGAGGACCGAGTTACCCCGTCAGCTAGCAGTTCTCCAAGCTACGGTTTTTATTACAACATTATAGTTTAAAAGCGCGTCTGATTTTGTATTGTGAGGAATACGCGTCGGGTGCCCTGGGGTCGAGAAGTCCTCACAGTCAACCCCACTCTCTTTCCTCTCATAGGCACTAGTCCGTTGTGCGACCCACTCGGTCATGCGGGGATTGGGCGCCAGTAGCTGACAGGGCTACAGAGCCTGTCTGCTCGTGCGACGCACGCGACCTGGCCCCCCCCCTCCCCCCCGACATAATGCGCCAAGCTTTCACGCAAGAGAGGTGCCCGGCTCGGATCTCGCACGCGTTAGGGTGCCACGGAGATCAGATTAAGGAGCCAATGAGCCTAACTCTCGTTAGCCGCCACGAACGGCCCCTAGCAAAAGGACCTGCAGATCACCATTTTGTCGTCTCTGAGGCCCTCCTTTCAACCTGTCAGAGCGACTAAAAAGGCGACCAATGTCCTCTTCGCAGTTGGAAGATTTTTATTATAGATGTAAACAAGGAGCTATCTGGAAAGGCGAACGTGCTCTGTAATCATTTGCTACTAGAATATGGAAATTAGGCGTGGCTACCCTAACTGAAATAGGGAGGACGACAAAGTAGTGAAGAGAATAACATTATTATCATATAAATGCTGACTTTATGCGCACGACCTATTCACCTAGAGTACAGGCAGATCCAAGGATATCTCATACAGACCTACTGGATTGGGAGGAATGGGGACCGTGTCCTTGCAAATCGATGATTTCGTCGCACTAGTTGCAATGGGCAACCTCCGTTGGAACTCTCTTATGCCTCGAGGGCAGTGTCGCACCTGGATGTCCATCAGCACCCACTTCTGCAACGAGTTGTCTGTGCGTCAAGCGGACTTCCCGAGGGAGTTATCTGGTCGAGCACAGCAGAGGCACTTAAACATGAACTGGACGTTTATTTACTTTAAAAATACCACCCAGTTACACAGGAAAACTCTGTTAAGTCAAATAAACGCCTCGCGCATACCTATCGATAACGCTGATATGCTCTATATACACATGTATATTTCTGTTTCTCCCATGCTTTCGCCAGCGGACGATCGCCAACTACCAGAGCGTAATTAACGAAGGCACCGAATTTCGCAATGATCTTAAGGCCGAGCTGGAACGTGCTCGCAAAGCCGCCTCAGTGGCACGGGCCCAGCTGGCCAATGAGTTGCGACGGCGTACCTCCTCCACATCCTCCTCCACAGCCGCCTCTACTCTGCCCGAGTTTGCCTGTCCCCTTTCGCCGACCTCTAACAGCGGTCTTCGCACTGAATGCGACAGACTACAGAAGTGGCTTAGCTCCCTCAAGGAAGAAAACCGGCGTCTGGAAGCGTCCCTTGTGGCGAAAACTAGCCAGGTCCGTCGTATGTGTACTTGTTATTTCTGTTCCAAACTGCCATACACCCCTCACAGTTAGCCTTGTTTATGACCTATCTATCTAGTTTCTATCTACCTCCTTCTGTACCTCATCCAGTGCTGGATGAAACGATATGTGACGCGTGGCATTCGTGTGTCTCCTACAATAGCGTCATGACGCATTTAAGTGCTTTGGAAGGTTGTCAACTGAAGGGCTAGCTGTTCTCCGAACCAGAGGTCAAGCTACAGCGGTTTCTACTTAGTGTGTCCTTACGATAGCCCTCACCACTTTGATATTGCGTGGGACCACGTGCTCGGCGCCCGATGCGTCGAGGCCCGTCTCCAATCGTCCCAGCCATGTCTTGCCGTCGGCATCCGGTGGATGTGGGACGAATGAGGGAAGTTGGTGCTATGCAAGTATCTATCACCCCCTTTGTTGCAATTCGCACGAAGTTGGTGTCCCCCCCCCCCACCCCCCTCCTAGCCCGATTATGGTCACCATCGAATTGTACAGACGAACTATCGGACCATCAGTGTTGTCAGGAACGATGACGGATCCCGGCAGTTTTTTAAGTCGTTGATGAGAGGAAACATCTTGGTTGTGGAGCGCCCAACAGTCTGCATATTTTGGGCTCGACCCGCCTGGCCTTCGTAGGCGTCGATCCGGCATGCCGTTCGCCGTTACGTATCTGTCGAACTGGAGGCCATAAACCGTGCGTAGAACCGCTACAGATTTTGACTAGTTTTAGAAAGTAATGACGAACGAATTGGACTGAAAAGGAGATAAGACAACCGGAACGTCAGTTTTATCCATCCCCGCATTCCCAATTTCCTACTCTAATTCTACTAGCCATTGGGCTGGCGGACTTGGACAGTGGACTGGTACCTGAGGGGAAAAGAACTAAGGTCGACTCTGGGAGTCCATCTCTACGGCACATCAACACATTCCTCGCTATGATAAATCCGACGCACTCGAATTTACTGCGATGCACTAAACGACGTGGGTTGGAAGACTGTCAACAGACGGAATTGCACGGTCCTCGTGGTCGTTGATTGGCTAGTGGACTGCGATTTAGGTCCACTGACTCCTCCTCCTCCTCCTCCTCCTCCTCCTCCTCCTCCTTAATTTGCCTATCATTAGACTCCAACTGAGGCAGGATTCCAGCCATCGATTTTTGTGAAGACCCATCGCATTGTGCGGGAACAAGGCCGTGTGTGGCGCGCGTAGACAGACTTTAATTTTGCCAGTCACTGCGTCCGAACCTGACCTCGGTCGTCCCGACTCCCTCTTCACCGGACCTAGGTAGGTGAAGGAGGAGATTGCGTCAGGTGCCGTGCAGGCACGCTGTCATTATAGAGTATCGTCATCGTTCTGTGCCCAGCCTACCGTAGGCGCACGATGGACGTACTCGTTTTTTGATGGTCGAAGTGACGCTCGAAGAAGGTTATCTGCATCAGAGGCTCTTTCGAATCAGCCTCTCTTCCACTTTCCAGAGTTCCTTATGTCATGATAATGTCAGCCTAAACTTATCCTTAGATTAACTCCGACTCTGTAACACACGTCAGTGATTTTGGCAGCGCGGTAAAAAATGGGCATGATCTCCCTCGTAGTAATAAATAGACATTTTTCACTTCTGTCTTGACTAGGGAACGTGAATGGTTTGCAAGTTGCGCAGATATTCCGTTCTCACTTTGCTGTCATTTATAAAAAGAACAATCACCTATGTGAGACTGGTAGACAAAGTCGCATCAAATTTGCCCACATGCTTCAGTTAGTTACACATAGATTACTGACCTATGATATGTGTGAAGATGTATCTTGTAGTGTCGACGGAAATGTAAACCGGTGTGGCCAAAACCCTTTACGAGGTCAGAATTTCAGTTGAGTTAGTGGAAAATCGTCTAACACAAATAAACTGTACACCCCTTTCTCCTTTTTAGGAGATAATTCTGATCGAAAAACTGGACAGAGTGAGGCAGTTAATTTCGTCCCAGTTGGCGCAGTTACGTAAACGACAGCGCAGCCGCCGCAGACGTCACGGCCGCGCGTCATCGCCTACCGGGCTGTTCTGGCTCCGCGAAGTCGCCCTTCTTGTGGGCCTGCCGGAAGCAGAGGTCTCTGAGCTGATCAAACCCAGTGTCGCCACCACCGCCGCCACCGCCGCCACGGCCGTCACCGCATCCTCTCCCCTAAAACTCACTCATTCTGCAGCTCTTGAGAGTGTCCTCAATGATTTGAGCACAACTGTCTCTGATATCTCCGATGCCGATGCCAGCGACGACATGCAGAGCAAGAATCACATGCCTTCTCCACCACCACCAGCAGCAGCACTGGGAGACACCTCGCTTTCTCGCCCCACAGCTCCTAATCGCCCTCAGTGCAGTCATCCGCGGCCTGCCTCGAAATCGCACAATCTCTCCGACGATTCAGACGAAGAGCGGGAGAAGGCGGAGGAGGAGAAGACTAGACGGAGAAAGCGGAGACTTCATGATCGTAGCACCTCTGCGGCCACAAGGACTCATCGATCGACGGCGATGTCACCTGGTCGTGACGGCTCGGCGGACCGTGGGAAGGGTGGGGCTAAGAAAAGGAGGTGTAGACGGCGGTCTACCGCTTTCGCGGATACTAGCAAAGACGAAAAAGTTGGGGCGCCTGAATCACTGCCACTACTACCACCACCACCGCCACCACGGCGGCGCCGACAACGTCTAGACTCCACGGCATCTGCGGTCAGCTGCCTGAGTACGGTGACAAGCGTAATGCTGGAAGACATCAGTCTAGCGGGTCTACAGAAGGCCGACGACTCAGACCTCTCCTTCGTGATAGATGAAGCCTCTACTGAGTTTGCCCGCATTAAGTCACCACGTCGAGTTTCCGGCAAGCTGGCCGAAGAGTCAATGAAGGAGTCTGAGCTAGCAACCGCCATTAAATCAGACACATTGGGTATGCGTCTTTGGTACTTGCTCGTCTCCGTCTACGAACATTATTTTGCCCACCAGACATACGCACTAGTGACAACTCTGTATGACAGTATTGGGCGGACTTGTATACAACCTCGAGGCGATACCGTACGCTGCGTATTTGACAAAATCCTGGACGACTTCTTAATATATATATATATATAATATATAAGACATACATATCAATATATGTCGAAGTCGAATGTGTGCTTTGGGAAAAGCACCCAAAGCACACATTCGACTTCGACGTACATTTCTTGGGATGCCTTCCTTCCAATATCAATACATCCATATATATATATATATATAATGGTAGGGGCGCTCACCGATCGTTTATACGCAACTCACTCTTTCCGTTGTGCCTTACCGGCTCTCTCTCGAGCCCAACCAGCTGCCGCACAGCGGCGCATGATATAGGCAGAATGGAATTACCGACAAAGACAAGGGAGACTGGAATGGCAATTTCTGGCTTATTAGCCGTCGTCAGCCAGTCATACCCAACCCCTAAGTATATATATATATATATGTTGAAAAGAGGTAGGTTCTTTGGGACAAGAGGGTTTATTGCGTAAATTTTCGACGCTGGTTCCCCAGGTCGTCGTCAGACGCAAGCGGAAAGCAAATGTGAAAACAAGGAACAGCTAACGTCAAGAGTGCACAAAAATCGATACTTGCATGGCGTGTGCGCCGGTTGGCGGCCGTCGTGCGTCAGTCTGAGCTGGTTGGTTCCCTTCTCTTCCATTTCTCCTTCAGGTTTCTGTACACGGCATCCAACTCGATATGCCGGTTGATGCATGAGTCATCAGAGTGCATCGCCTCGAGGAATTCTCGGCCTTTCTTGAAAGGGCAGACCGCGACAACGCGAGCTTTGTCCCAAGCGAAAGTGTGCCCGGTGTCCAGCGTATGCATGGCTACCTGAGACAGATGGTCTCGCCTCTTTACTGCCAACTGGTGCTCATGGATGCGTGTTGAGGCGGATTTTCCAGTCTGGCCACAATAGACGGCAGTACATGCATTACACGGTATCTTGTAGACGACCTCTTTCTTGTCCAGCTGATTAACCCTATCCTTAGGATGTACCAGCTGAGAGCGCAACGTAGTCGTAGGTTTGTGCGCCACTCGAATTTGGTGCTTCCTTAAGTGCCTTTCGACGAGTTCAGACACATTCTTAATGTAAGGAAGGGTTCGCCTCAACACGCATCCATGAGCACCAGTTGGCAGTAAAGAGGCGAGACCATCTGTCTCAGGTAGCCATGCATACGCTGGACACCGGGCACACTTTCGCTTGGGACAAAGCTCGCGTTGTCGCGGTCTGCCCTTTCAAGAAAGGCCGAGAATTCCTCGAGGCGATGCACTCTGATGACTCATGCATCAACCGGCATATCGAGTTGGATGCCGTGTACAGAAACCTGAAGGAGAAATGGAAGAGAAGGGAACCAACCAGCTCAGACTGACGCACGACGGCCGCCAACCGGCGCACACGCCATGCAAGTATCGATTTTTGTGCACTCTTGACGTTAGCTGTTCCTTGTTTTCACATTTGCTTTCCGCTTGCGTCTGACGACGACCTGGGGAACCAGCGTCGAAAATTTACGCAATAAACCCTCTTGTCCCAAAGAACCTACCTCTTTTCAACTTATATCGCTTGGGATGCCCACCTTTCAATACTTACGCATATATATATATATACTAAAATATATATATATATACTAAAATGACAAGTACCCCACAAACGTGAGGTTGGGGACCTGTCCGACAACGTCCGACCACTTATCACCTCCAGCGGCTCCAAACTGCCCTCTCCCGGCCGTGCGGGACCAATGACTGCTTAGAGCAGGCGTCATAACTTCACGTGCACTCCTGCATCCAGGTCCGCTTTCCGGACACCTTCAGTTATGTCCTTAGACAGGCTGGGACTTTTGCCACAGCACCAAGTCCGCGCCTCAGATGGACTCCGGGTCTTCCCTCACACCCGACCCTAAATCCCATAAGCTTTTTAATTTATACGCTTGTTCAGACTAAGTTAGTCATCCGATTTCAACCACCTAAAGTCCTCTGTTACGAAGTCTTAGACTAAAATGACCGCTGAGTACATCGGGAACACCTGCAGGAAGTACTGACCCAGGATTGAGGTTGTGACCGGGGTTGTGGTAGGAGACATTGATTAAGGTGGGCGTTTGACTCTCACTGTTGTGGTTAGGATCTCACTCGATCCCACTCGAACGCTGTGTCAGAGGACACAACAGTGAGAGTCGAACGCCCACTTGGCATGCTTATATACCTCACTTCATAAGGCCTATGACGTACTGATGATCGGTAATAACCGTGAAACAGCTGTCTGCGTCTGGCCTGTTGCACTCTTAGCGAGCTGCTCATTTATTGATTAAGGTGTTGACAGGTACACGTATTATTCTTATAAGCACTTTTCTAAAATGCCAATGTCAGCACTTTGCAGAAGATAAGAGCCTAAATTTTAAAACGTACCCTCCCTAGACATCCCATATGACGTTTCGATCGTCGCCAGTGACGACGTCCATCGAGCGCCCCACTGAGTGCTCAGTTATAACAGCAACCGACACTTTGATTGTCGTGTCCGACGATGTTCACCGTACGCTCCACGGCAGGGTGGGATCAGAGACGTTTACTTGCATGTGAATTATAGTGATAGTAGACTTCCACAGCTTCTACCGCGCTCTCTCCTTCTCCCCCGCCTGGGTTGGGTGCCAAGACACTGCCAAGAAGACTAGAGGCGGGAGGGGGTGGGGGTGGTTGGCACGACGAAAACCCACAGTTGGGCTTACCACCGCACCCCTGGTTCACAACGTACGCCGACCAGAATTTTGCACGAGAAAAAGGAGGGGGGAGGGGCCTCAGAAGGGGCAACTGCAGCTGGATTCTCAGTCCAACAGTTGACCTTTCCGCACAAAAACACACGGGGCAGACTGCGAGGTCCAAGTCATCAGGTCAGTTAGCAGTCCTCCAATCCACGGCCGTTAGCTCATCGTAATAGATTCAAGCGCGCCAGACGGTTTATTGCGGAAAATATGCGGTGAGGTCGTCGACTTCACTCTCTTCCCGTCCTCTGTTGCTAGGCCACCGCCCGAGCTGGTCAGTTGCTTGATGTGAAAAGTGGGCACAGCGGCTTACAAAACTAGAGAGCTCGTCTACGCGCCCTACGTGCACGGTCTGACCCACCAAACGCACGATAGTTCGATCGTCGATTTCGACCATGTCCACCGTGTGTTCCACAGCATGGTGAGAGCAGTGACGGTGACTTGTGCAGAAATTTAGTTTATAGTACTGGTAGACTTGCACAGCATCTACCGCTTTCTCCTCCTTCCCCACCTGGGTCCGGTGTCAAGACAGAGTCAAGAAGACCGTAAGGCGGGGTATGGCGCAGTTGGATGGCACGGTCGAGCCCGCACCTTGGCGTTCCCTCCACACCCCTGGTCCACCCAACAAATAACCAGGTTTTTGAATAACAACAGCAACAAAAATGGGGGCTGGCAAGGTCCCAGTGTGCACGACCTACGCAGGCAACCGGGTCTGCCACCGCACACCGAAAATGCTGGCATTTGTTGCGGTGCGCAAAGCCGATAACGCCTGCCAGAATCCGATATGGCAGCGCATCTACCACGTGGACCGTTTGGGGGACACCTCCAAACACACACTAGTTTTACACACACAAGGGAAAAGCGGATCGGATCTCTTATGCGTGAGAGGATGCCCATAAGAAGGAGCTACCGCAGTCTGACTCTCATTCTACCAGTCGACCAATCAACACAAAACTACTGTGACTGCGTGATCTGAGTGTCAGTTGACAACCTCCGAACCTCGGCTTCTGGCGTACCGTGATAATCTTAAGCGCATCAGATTGTTTATAGGGAGGAATCATGCACTGACAGTCGACCTCACTCGCTTTACCACAGCCCTCGCACAGGTTGGCTGACCGAGCCAGTCTATCAAGTGATGCTGAGACTGGGAGAGGTTGCTAGCAGGGTTGAGAACAACTCGTTTGCGCGTGCCGCACGTACGACCTGCCCCATCTCCCAATATACACACTCCAGGATCTCACACACAGGTTTCCATGAAGGCGCGTGTGACCGAATAGACTCATGCCATGGCCTAATGTGCAAGGACAATGCGGGTAATTGGGGCGATGGCGTCTGGTGTATGTTGGTGCTCCAGGCACTTGGTCACCAGTCTCTGTGTTATAGATTCGCAAGCGACCGACCAGGCCGATCCGTGAAGTGGATGTGCAGTGGCAGTGTTGGTAAGGTAGGCTACGAGGTGCTTGGTTGTTGCCATGGTGATGTTGCTAGTGGTGGTCTCGCCGGTCGATGGGAGTTGGTTGGGCTGGGGATGGGAGAGTTCGTAGGTGCGCAAGGTGTGCTAGATGTATCGATATTACTTTAAAGTCCGCTGTTGTGAATGCTCATGTGACCGAATAGGCCCATACGGTGAATGAATGTGCGTGGACAGTGTAAACAGCGAAAGTGGATGCGGCGAGTACATGTGGAGACCCCTGTTACTGGTACGCTGGTCGCAGTGCGACGGGTTCAAGAGTGACTGACCAGGCCGATGCGTGGGTTGAACGTGCGACCGCGGTGAGGACAGTTTGGAACAGAGTCCGCATCGTTGGAGGTGGAGGTGGTGTGGTGGTCGTCGTTTCCAATTCGAAAAGATTACTTAAATAGGGTTGTCGTATAAATCATCATGTTGCATACTGTTAAGTTGTTTCTGCCTCTTATCGACCGCTGGCATAATTCATACTCCGTAAGAAATGATTATTTAAGTATCATGATTTTTCCTCATTGATTTTTGAAACCCCTACACATTCGAACATATTTTATAAAACATGTACATCCATTGATGTTTTGGCAGATTTTGAATAAATTATGTTGACCCAACTGTGAAAAACATGTACAAAAATATTCCTTCGTTTACTCATTCAGTAGCAGATTACGCCTTCCTCCAATTTTATACTTGAGGAAAGGGTAGTTTTCGATTTTAAAAAGTTTCTACTTATGAGATTTTTCAAGACCATGAAGTGTCCAATCGTACAACATCCCATAAACGTATTTATTAATGCTGCTTATAAAGTGAGCAACGTGTGCTCTGTGTACCCACTTCATAATAGCATACAGAAATTATGGTTTTCCTTGCATGAAAGGTGTACAGCTTTTCGTTCGGAAACCCTGAATGCAAGGTTGGGTTCAGATTTATTCAGAAACTGAGAAAGCTTTTTAAAACTGAGAAGTACTCTTCCTTTAAGTACAGTAGGAGGGCTAAGTCATGAAATGTCAACCGAAATTCCGAAATGCGTTTTCGTTTCGAAAAGATTAATTAAACAAGGTGGTAAAACTAGTCAGCCGGCAACATAATTCTATAATATTTCAGTTACCTCAGGCTGCCGGCTTTCGAATGAAGTTCCTTCCGGCTGCATGCAAGAAAACCATACTCTGCGAAAAATGACTACTCTTGTAGCATGAATTTTTCTCATTGATTTTCGATGCCTCTAAAAGTCCAATTACATTTCATGGGAAAAAGGCATAAAGACATTCATTCTTTTGCTCATTCGGTAGATAATTACGTTTTCTAATTTCATTCTTGAAGCAGGGACAAGAAAAAGGCCATATTGGGTTCATAAAATTTGACATTCGATTTGAGCCATTTTGTTAACCTTACAAGGTTAACTGGTTACGGGGACATGATGTTTTATGGACGGCCAGTTCACGGTGTCAAACAATCTCACAATTAGAAACTTTTTTAAAACCAAATTATATCCTTC